CTTCTTTATATTCTTCATATTGTTGTTATTATTATTAGTATTATTATTATTAGTATTATTATTAGTATTATTATCATTATTAGTAAGATTATTATTATTAATATTAGTATTAATATTATTATTAGTATTAGTATTACTATTAGTATTATTATTAGTATTATTATTATTGTATTATTAGTGCTAGTATTATTAATTTGTATTATTGTTATTATTAATTATGTTATTATTAATTATTAGTATTGTTATTATTATTACTATTGTTACTATTATTATTATTATTAGTATTAGTATTATTATTAGTATGATTGTTGTCCGTATGATTATTATTACTCTTATTCTTCTTATTAAATTTATCCTGATTATTATTCTTGTTATTCTTCTTATGCTTCCTCGTATGCTTCATAGTCTGCTTCTTCGTATTAGTACTATGATTATGTTTATCCTTATTGTTCTTACTATTATTATTCATAATATTATTCATATTATTATTATTCTTATTGTTCTTATTACTTCTCGTATTAATCTTATTAGCATTAGTAGTATTATGAGCATTAGTAGTATTATTCGTTTCTTCGTATTCTTCTTATTATTATTCTGCGTAGCCTTAGTATTATTAGTGTTAGTGTTATGATTCGCCTTTTTATTATTCGTATTAGTATTATGCTTCTTCATATTTTTATTCTTTGTAGTATTTAAGAATAGTATTATTATTAGTCGTAGTGTTTTTATTATTATTCGTGTTCTTCTTCATATTAGTATTATAATTCTTATTATGCTTCTTATTATTATTAGTATTAGTATTAGTATTATTATGAGTAGTATGCTTATTATTATTATGCCTCCTCCTCCTCCTCCTCCTCTTCCTCCTCCTCCTCCTCCTCCCCCTCCCCCTCCTCCTCCCTCTCCTCCTCCTCCTCCTCCTCCTCCTCCTCCTCCTCCTCCTCTTCCTCCTCCTCCTCCTCATCCTCCTCATCCTCCTCTCCTCCTCCTCCTCCTCCTCCGCCTCCTCGTCCTCCTGCTCCTACTCCTCCTCCTCCTCCCTCCTCCTCCTCCTCCTCCTCCTCCTCCTCCTCCTCCTCCCCCTCGCCCCTTCTCTCCCTCCTCGCCCCTCCTCTTCTTCTTATTCGTCTTCTGGTTCTTCTTCTTCGCATTATTATTATTATTCTTTTTATTATTATTCTTCTTATTATTATTATTATTATTCTTCTTATTATTCTTATTATTCTTCTTATTATTCTTCTTCTTCTTATTATTATTATTATTCTTATTCTTCTTATTCTTAGTATTCTTCTTCTTCTTATTCTTCTTATTATGCTTCTTCTTATTATTATTATTATTATTATTCGTATTATTATTATTCTTCTTCTTATTATTATTATTATTCTTCTTGAGCTTCTTCTTATTATTATTATTATTATTCTTCTGCTTCTTCTTTTTATTATTATTATTATTCGTATTATTCTTCTTATTATTATTATTATTATTCTTATTCTTATTATTAGTTTGATTCTTCTTATTATGCTTCTTTTTAGTATTCTTCTTATTCTTCTTATTATTATTCTTATTCGTCTTCTTCTTCTTATTATTATTATGAATCTTCTTATTATTCTTCCTATTATTCTTAGTATTCGTCTTATTCTTCTTCTTATTATTATTATTATTATTCTTCTTCTTATTATTATTATTATCATTATTATTATTAGTATTCTTCTTATTAAATATTATTATTATTCTTAGTATTATTCTTATTATTCTTAGTATTATTAGAATTCTTATTAGTATTATTATTACTAGTATTATTGTTATTTTTTTATTCTTCTTATTATTAGTCTTGTTCTTATTATTCTTCTTCTTATTCTTATTATTATATATATGTATATTATTAGTTAATAGTATTATTATGTTTCCTCCTCCTCATCATCCTTCTCCTCTTCCTCCTCCTCCTCCTCCTCCTCCTCCTCCCCCTCCTACTCCTCCTACTTTTCCTTTTCCTCCTCTTCCCCCTCCTCCTCCACGCTTGCTCTTCACAAATAACACCTCCCTGTCTCACCCCGAAACCAGTCGGAAGGGCGCGCCAGGCGTGTCGCCTGAGACTTCTTTGCCATATACGATCCCAAAACTTCAGAGTTGACAGCAGTTTCACATTTGAAGGCGGGTGGTTTTCAACATGTGGTTCTCACCTCAGCGCCGCGCACATTCATTTTCAACATTTGCACAGAGCTTCACGGATTGAGGGCAGGACGTTTTCGACGTGTGCCTATCGGCTTAGCGCCGCGCACCTTCGCTTTAAAAAGTACAAGGGTGTCACGGATTGGTGGCGGCCCTTTTTCAAAAAGTGGCTCTCGCATTGGCGTCGCTCACACTCGTCTTAAAAACGTGCAAAAGATTTACGGATTGCGCCGCGCACACTCGTTGTAAACATTCGCGAGATAGTCACGGTTTGAGGGCGGGTTGCTTTCAAAATGCGGCCCTCGCCTCAGCACCGCGCATGCTCGCCTTTCAAGCATGGGCAAGAGATTCACGGATTGAGGCTGGTTCCTTTACAAAATCTGGCTCTCGCCTTAGCGCCGCGCACATCGGTTTCAAAACATTGCAAGAATGTCACGGGTTTCCATTGCTGACATTCCAGGAATGAGCGTTTGGAACGGTGCACGATGGTCAGGGCGCAACAATTCCTATTGTTTCGCGGTGTTGAAGTCCCAGGAATGGTGTTCTGGCAAGATTTAGGGTCGTCAAGACGCATTAGTCAAGTTGATTCGTGGCGTTGACGGTTGTCTCCCAACGGGGCACGTTCCTCCGTGGAAATAAATCTTTGTAGGAGCCTGCGAAGAGGGAGCTTGGAGGGAGGGTTTCTTCCAACATCGTTGATGAGTATTCGGTTCACACTGGTCCTCATCCTCCTCCTCCTCCTCCTCCTCCTCCTCCTCCTCCTGCTCCTCCTCCTCATCCTCATCGTCATCATCATCAGCATCATCGTCATCATCATCAGCAACATCATCAGCATCAGCATCAGCATCAGCACCAACATCAGCATCAGCATCATCATCAACCACAACAACAGCAGCATCATCAGCAGCAGCAGCAGCATCATCAGCAGCACCATCAGCATCATCATCACTACCAGCATCAGCAGCATCATCATCATCAGCATCATCTGCAGCTTCCTCATCATCAGCAACAGCGTCATCAGCATCATCATCACCACCAGCATCATCACCAGCAGCAGCAGTATCAACATCATCGTCATCCCCCTTTTGCGCCCTCTCCTCCTCCTCCTTCTCCTCCTCCTGCTCCTCCTATTCATCATCATCCTCTTCCGCTTCCTCGTCATCCTCGTCCCCCTTTCCACTTCCTCGCCCTCCTGCTCTCCCTCCTCATCCCACCCCGTCCTCCTCCTGCTTCTGCCGTCGTCCCAAGGCTGTCCTCGGCGCGCTGCTACTTATGGCAGCACAGGCAGCGCGACGCCTGAGGCTGTCGCGAAGTGGAGGAAGAGACGGATCGTCAGTGCTGCCTGCGGCTACGTGAGCTGCTGCTGCTGCTCGAAGGAGATTGTCGGTGACAGTCGTTGCCAATGCGGCCTGCTCTTCGGCTGCTGCAGCGCACCTGCCTGTCCGTCGTGCCCCCTTCATGCGCCTCTGGCAGCGAAGTGAACTCGCGTTCATCGACCTTCGGCGATTCAACCCGATTTGCGTGACCGCATGGGCGGGCTTACTCGTTTTCTCGAGTGTGCCTGCGCCGAGAAACTAGTTTGCGTTATCGCGTCTCCCTCAGCCCGCAAAGCAGCATTATCCTGTAGACGTCGATGGCATTGCTCATCGCCTTCGTGGTGCTCTTCTTCCTCCTGGGCGTCGACCTGGTCACGAGGCGCGTCCTCCCCTGCAGTGCTTGAGGCTGGTGTTCGCGGAGTGCCGTTGACGGCAACACCATTTCCTTCGCCTTCCAGGTTTTCGCCCTCGGTCCCTGTCCAAGGCGTACCTTTTCCTGCACATCCACTTCGGCACCGCCTGTTCCCCGGGCCCCGCTCGTTCCGGCCGCTTGAGGCCCCGCCTTCCTGTGCCCTGTCTCCCTAATTAAAGCTGTGCGTAGCCCGCCTAGCTTTTAGCGGAAGAGGTTCGCTCTCGCCCCGCAGATCAAAAAGGAGACGTCGATGAAGAGTGTCTCAGTATAGTGGCCTCACATCCTGATCACTAGTATAGCCTTCGTGCAGTTATTTTCCTGCCACCCGCTGAAAAAACAGATCGATCTTTGCGCAATTGTGTTGCTGATGCGTGGTGCGACCGCGGACATTGTGCAACTGCTCCCCTGCGAGCCCCAACCGTGCATACTCGTTATCGGTTTCATCCGCTCCGCTGCCACACGCCTCTGCCACAAACCACACGTTCAATTTGCGGCGATGGCACATTGTTGCACTGATGTCTTCCTCTCGACTTGATTATTTCACGAGCGCCTGTCCTGAGGGGAATCAGTGTTCTGCGATTGCTCTGCCGAGTGCACGCCATGCTGCGTTCAGGTCGGACACGCAGCCGCATAGCCGTTGTGGGGTACCCTCTCTCCCCCGCCCGCGCTCCCACCTCCTCCCTCCCACCACACTCCTCCTCCTCCTCCTCCTCCTCCTCCTCCTCCTCCTCCTCCTCCTCCTCCTCCTCCTCCTCCTCCTCTCCTCCTCCTCCTCCTCCTCCTCCTCCTCCTCCTCCTCCTCCTCCTCCTCCTCCTCCTCCTCCTCCTCCTCCTCCTCCTCCTCCTCCTCCTCCTCCTCCTCCTCCTCCTCCTCCTCCTCCTCCTCCTCCTCCTCCTCCTCCTCCTCCTCCTCCTCCTCCTCCTCCTCCTCCTCCTCCTCCTCCTCCTCCTCCTCCCCTCCTCCTCCTCCTCCTCCTCCTCTCCTCCTCCTCCTCCTCCTCCTCCTCCTCCTCCTCCTCCTCCTCCTCCTCCTCCTCCTCCTCCTCCTCCTCCTCCTCCTCCTCCTCCTCCTCCTCCTCCTACCCGTGGGCGGGGGGCATCACCTGCGTCCACACTAGCGTCTGGCAAGCCCTCGAGCTCCTCGTCCTCGACCTCGATGTCGGCCAGATCTAGTCTGTCTGCGTCGAAGGCGGAGGACGCCCTGCCCCAGGCCCTTTGCACGAGGAAGAGGGCAGAGGGGGAGGCACGGGAGGAGAAGGAGCCGCAGTCGCGCGCCCTCCCTTGGGGAACCCGCCAGTGCCCATTGGCGGCCTCAAAAATGTGGCATGCAGGCGGACTTACATGGTGACCACCGGTCAGTGCTCCCAGCGGCAAGTAACAATCGCATGTCGTTCGAGCTGTTGTGTTCGTGTTGCCTTGGTTCGGTCGCTGTCGAATCTGGTCCTGCCTGGCGTCGGCGCTGCAGCACTGCCCGAACAAGCTGTCGTCGTCCCACCTCTTTGGTTGCCCTGCATGTTGCTGGCGCCCTCGTTGTCGAGTGTTGAGATGTAGGTTCCAGTTAAGCACATTCTGCGCGCAGAGTGTGGAGGGGGGCTGAGCCACAGCAGTCGCCCGTCGCCAAACAATTCTGCGGTGTGCGCTTGTGTGCAGTACATCCGATGTCATGTTCAAGCATCAATGTTTCGGCCATCCACGTGCTCCTGCGAATTACGTCGGACCGCAACTCGACGTCCTCGTCCTGCATAGTGCCCAGTTGTGTGTGTCCTCGTCGTTGTCATCGTGCGGCACAGTGGGCTGCTGGGTAGGTGGGTTGCTACAAACGTCGGATTCGCTGGAGTCGTTTGGGGCAGTGTCGCTGACGTCGGTGTCGCTGCCGTGCGTCTCCTTGGCGTTCCCAATATGATTCTGACCATCTGGCGCTGTGTTCGGCGTGTGTATTGTTTGAGAGGCTCGGGCGAGGAGCACGCAAAGGTGAAGAAGGGGAAGGGAGAAGACGAGGAGGGGGGAGAGGACACGCGAGAGGACACAAGACCCTTCCGAGGGCCACAGTGCCTCAGGAATGTGGAAGGCATGGGTCGCGAGACACAGGACACAAGGGTACCCTTGATTTGGCAGGGTCGACCTACTAATCAACCTCGACTGCATGGATCGGTCGCGCGGGTGCACAAGGCCGACAAAACACAAACGGGAGAACCACATCAGGCCCCCGCCGCCTCGCCGCACACTTCCACCACCCACCCGGTGGGATCCCGGCAGGCGGAAGCGCCAAGGCGGCGGCAGGTGGGGCTTCGAAGGAGGGGAACAAGAGGAGGGGGAGGGAGCAAGAGGGGGAGGCAGAGGGAGGGGGGCGAGGGGAGGGGAGGGAAGGGAGGGACGCCCGGGCCCCGTCGTACGGGCGCACCCACCGGGGCCTTGCCTGTATGCGGGCGCACTCACCTGGACCTGGAAGGGCCCAAAAGGAGCAGGAGTTGTGTTAAAGGTGCGTGGCGACGACGACGACGACGACGACGACGACGACGACGAAGACGACGACGACGACGACGACGACGACGACGACGGCGGCGGCGTCGTCGTCGTCGACGACGACGACGACGACGACGACGGCGGCAGCGACGACGACGACGACGACGACCGCGACGACGAAGAGCATCGAGCAGCCAGGAAAAGCAGCCAAGGAGCGGGGAGGAAGGTGGTCCGATGCGCGCAGCGTATAACTGTGAATCAGTGGGGAGACGGGCCCCGACGACCGAAAACCGCTTGCCGCGGGTGACAAGGCCTGCGAGATCTTTAGCTGTACGCCTCCCTCTTTCCCCACTCCGCGTGGGGGCTTTCAGAGCCCACCGTCGCCTCGCCAACATTTCCTGCAGTTTGACAGTGAGCACCATCGTCAGTCGGGCGGACGGCAAACTCGCCACCGACCTTAACAGCGCGACCCACAGTCAACGGGGCGCGCGGGCGCCACGCCCCCACGCCACCTGCGAAGTAGATTGACAGCGGGGCCCACTGTCAAGCGATCCCGAGCCAGCAGAGCTGGGGGTCACCGGTCGCGATGGGCCCACTGTCAAATTGCAATGTGGGGGGGGTCGCGTCGCCGCGCGCGGGCCACTTTGACAGGGGCGCACAGCTGTCAAAGTGCGCACTGTGAGGACGCGCGTCGCCCCGCGCGGGCCTGTTTCGCAGCGGCACTCACTAGCCGCCCCCCAATGGGGGGGAGGAGGGGGGGGAGGGGAGGGGGCGACGAGATCACCAGGACACCTCCCAGGCCCTCGGAGCCTCCAAATCCGCCATCCGCGGTCTCCACGATAGGATACCCCAAGATGCCCTCTGAGATGGCTAAAGGAGGGCTCTAACGTGCCAAGGAGGTATTCACAACATCCTAGATGCCCTCAGGACGGACCGACGACGCCCCAAGAGGACCCACAAGACGGTCTCGATCGCTGAGTTGCCATGTGTTGTGGAATGAATCCTGCATTGTCAGAACTTCGGCGTTCTGAAAGCCCGAGACGACCCGAGAAGCACCTCAGACCAGCCCAAGACGACCGAAGAGATCCGCGAGAGGGCCCAGAGATGGCCCAAGAGGACCCACGGACTGCCCAAGAGGCCTCAAAGAGACGGCCGAGAAAGGCTTTCAAGCGGGCCGCAAGAGGGGCAAGAGAGGCCCAGAGGGGAAGCCTGTAGGGGTCCTGAGAGCCCTCCCCATCAAATGGCCCCCAGGACGATCAACGAGCCCCCAAGAGGCCTTCAAGAAGCCTCCAGAAGGCTCCCAAAAAGAACCCAAGAGCACTGAAAAGGCTCCCAAAAGGCCGCCTCCGAGGTCTCCAAGAGGCTCCCAAGAAGCCCCGCAACGAACGCGGAGGAAGAGGAGGGCAAACCAGAATCAACTGCACGCAGGCAGCACGGCGGAGAGCGGCAAGCAGCACATACGAGATCGGAAGCCACACATATACTCTTCTGGGGGTCGGTTGAATGGCATAATATTTTCAATCAGAATCGGAAGTCAGACCCGAACGACTCTGAGCCGACATGGAGGGGGAACAACAATCACAGAATGACGGCAGCGACGACGAACAGGGAGGTAAAGGAAAAAGGAGTAGAGCGCGCAGGGTACCAATAAAGGCGCGGAGCCTAGGTAGCTGTGCTGTGCCCGCGAGTTGATTGTGCCCCCCCGAGGCCCCCGCCACTGAGACATCGAGTCTCAAACCACAGCACTTCTGGAAGAGAGGATGGATCAGTAGTCAGGGGCGGGGGGGAGGAGGAAGGGGGGGCTGGAAAGAAGGGGGGGAAGGAGAAGAGCTGGTGAGTGCGAGAAGGGAGGGGGTTGTCTGACGCCGTAAGCTATTCATGGCGGCCCCTTGTTAAAAAAGAAGCACAGGCGGGCTAGAACGCGCGTAGCCATAGGCCCCAGTACATCAGCCTCTAAGCTAGGACGCCCTGGGAACGTCCTGAAATGAGATGCCCCCGTGCCAGGAGGTTTTCCTCTGGGGAGTGGGTGGGTGAGTGAGCGAGACCAGTCGCGAAGCGAAAGAGTGAAACTAAGGGCCCCGACGAGCGAGCTCGGCCCGACTCCGAACCTTGAGCCATTGCCCTGAGTAGACTGTGGAACCTCTGCTCACCCGACCGGCAACATGCCCACACTGGCAACACAACAAGAGCCTGAGGGCACTGTGCGGACGCATCTGATGTGTTTCATGCACCCACCCACCCGCAGGGTGTAGCTATTCACATAGGACGGGTTCAAACCACAGCGTGTCTCTCCACAAAGCCTGTCCAGTTTTCGTGGCAAAGGTGCAACAGTGGAGGCACCTTCGACCGCACTCAGCAAGGCGGTGGCGGGTAAAGAAAATCTGAGTATGTCGACCGTGGCCCTGAAAAGACGCATATAAACCAGGAGCCCCATCTGTCCCCACGTGACGAGGGAGGAAAGGAGGGAGGGAGGAAGGGCGGAGCAGGAAGGGGCAGGAAAAAGAAGGAGGGCACGGAGCAGAGGCAGACGCTCTCGCCGCCCCCCACCCCGTCCCCCTCCGCAAGTGCGCAGCGACGCCGGGCATCTCCACCTGACTAGGCCACGGCAGCATCGATCGCTGCCTCCTCCCCCCCCCCCTTTCTCCTCGTCCTCCTCCTCCTCCTCCTCCTCCTCCTCCTCCTCCTCCTCCTCCTCCTCCTCCTCCTCCTCCTCCTCCTCCTCCTCCTCCTCCTCCTCCCCCTCCCTCCTCCTCCTCCTCCTCCTCCTCCTCCTCGCCTCCTCCTCCTCCCTTTTCCTCCTGCTCCTCCATCCTCCTCCTCCTTCCACCTCCTCCTCCTCCTCCTCCTCCTCCTCCTCCTCCTCCTCCTCCTCCTCCTCCTCCTCCTCCTCCTCCTCCTCTCCTCCCCTCCTCCTCCTCCTCCTCCTCCTCCTCTTCTTTCTCTCCTCCTCATCCCGTCCTCGTCCTCGTCCTTCTCCTCCTCCTCCTCCTCCTCCTCCTCCTCCTCCTCCTCCTCCTCCTCCTCCTCCTCCTCCCCCCTCCCCCTCTCCCTCCTCCTCCATTCCCTTTCCTGATGAATAACTGCTCCCTGTCGCACCCAGAGGCCAGGTTTTTAGGGCGGGCGGGGCGCTTCGCCTGATCCTCCCTCACAACTTACGACATCGAAGTTTAAAAAATTGATGACATGTTCACAAATGAAGGGCGGGTGGTTTTCAAAATGTGGTTCTCGCCGTAGCGCCGCGCACATTCTTTCTAAACATTTGCAAGAATTCCACGGGTTGAAAGGGATGGTGTTCAAAATGTGGCTCTCGCCTTAGCCCCGCGCACATTCGTTCTTAAACTTTGCAACCTGTTTCACGGGTTGACGACAATCCGTGCAAGGGCTTCACTGATTGAGGACAGCTCCTTTTCAACATGTGGCTCTCACATTAGCGCCGCGTACAATCGTTTATCCACTTTACAAGCATTCACGGGTTCCCACGATCAACAAGCCAGAAATAGTTCTGGAAGGACTCATGATTATGCGGGCGCAACAATTAATTCCAACAGCGGCGTACTAGCACGATCCAGGATCGTCAAGGCGCAACAATCAGGTTGATCCGTGGCGTTGGAATCCCAGAAAAAAATGTTGGCATGCTTCAGGGTCCTCGAACAGTTGTTTTCAAACGAGGCAGTTCCTTCAATGGAAATGAAACGTTGCATGGGGCCTATGAAGAGGGAGCTTGGAAGGAGGGGGTATTCCAACATCGTTGATGACTCTTGGGTTTACACTGGTCCTCCTCCGCCTCCTCCTCCATTTCCTCCCTCTCCTCCTCCTCCTCCTCCTCCTCCTCCTCCTCCTCCTCCTCCTCCTCCTCCTCCTCCTGCGCCACAGCCTGAGGCGGACCGACGAACTTACCCCCCGCACCTTAAAAAAAATAAAAAGAGGGAATCCAGCGGGAGACACCTCCCCTGACCCCAAATCCCTCCTCTTCCGTGATTCTTCACGGGACCCCGCACCGCGGGAAAATACAAAATTGGAAGGTTTGGCCGACCGTACCCGAAAGGAACTCCACACCGTCTCCTGGCTACTATGGCCGACGAACCCAACGGCAGTCGTCGGCCCAGCAGTCGGGAGATGGTGATGGTGGAGCCCCTCCAGGTCCTTTCCGCATCAGGCCAAACTGCAACCCCTTTGGGCTTTTCTCCCGCATCGAGCTTCTTCAATGTGAGTCGACCTTCTTTGTTGAGGCGCTTCTCACAAGGCTCTGACAGGTTCTTAAACCTCTTGGCCCCTTGGGCCGCACACAGATTCTCGACGTTGTGAATGCTATGGATTTGGAAGGGTCGTTTCCCGCATTCCTGCTGGCAAGAATAGATTAACCCTACCTTAGAACTAATACGTAGGCAGGCTACACATTTGAACCCTTGGAAATTTATTTTTAAAGAATGCGAAGTGGTTCGTGCCGCTAAAACTGGCTTTTCAACCAGGGCTTCTGCCAGCAACGTCTCCCTTCAGGGTCGTGCCGAAGCTCCTTAGCGCCTTTGGCAATTTCAAGTGAAACACTGATTAGGCGTTTCTGCACTCTCCAGGCCAGCTTATCCGCCTCTCGCACTTGCGCATGTCCCACTTCTTGTTCCGAAAGGTGACCCTTCACCTTTAGGAACATTTCCTTGATGGGAATCTTGGGCCGCCCAAAACTCCAGCCACAAATCTGCATTGGAAAATTGGGTGGCGTTTCTGCCTTCGTGGATCCCCCGATTTACAGAACTGGCATCCACAACCACCCTGGCGTCCCCTGGAGTCTTTTGCGAAAATCTGGCACAAGCTAGAAGTTCGGTCCCAGGAACCGTCTATATTGGGCCGGCTACACTTCCTCGTAGGGATACTTTCACCTCCCCCTCGACGCAGACGGCGAACGACCCTCCAACCCTTCTCGGGCGAGCACCCCTCGAGTGTTCTCCTCCAGAGCCATCTGCACCTACGGTGACACCTGGCGGGAGCTGTAGTTGGCCTTCCCTGGGCCAGTCTCTTTCAAAACCTGCTTCTTCCGCGGGGGGCGGGATGTCCGCCCCCGCCGTGTTCCATAAAACTGGGACCAGGCCTCGTGACCAGAAACACGGGTAAGCTTCGGCTCCCACCTTGGCCTGTGCACGGAGGGCGTCATCTCCTTAAAGCTCTGGAATGTCAGCGTTTGCTGGACATTCCCAGAGTTGATGATACAAGGATGCATCTGCTACTTTACATCTTGGGCAAATCGGGGACCCAAATCGAGCGTCTTCAAAACGTCTCCTCGGCGCCGAAAGGGTCGTGAGATCGCCGTGCCCGTGGAGCCGCCCCGCCGCCTTGCTCGCACGAGCGGCACGGCAACTCTCGCCGTCGCGGCCGGTCCCGCCCGCCTGCTGAGGCGCCGCCCTCTGCTCGCCTCGGCGCCGAGAGGGTCGCGAGATCGCCGCGCGCGAAGAGCCGCCCCGTCGCCGAGCTCGCACGAGCGACGCGGCCGCGCTCGCCGTCGCGGTCGGCCCCCCCGGCCTGCTGAGGCGCCGCCCTCCGCTCGCCTCGGCGCCGACGGGGTCGTGAGATCGCCATGCCCGCGGAGCCGCCCCGCCGCCGTGCACGCACGAGCGGCGCGGCCGCCCTCGCCGTCGCGGTCGACCCCCCCCGCCTGCCGAGGCGCCGCCCTCTGCTCGCCTCGGTGCCGAGAAGGTCGCGCGATCGCCGTGGCCGCCGAGCCGCCCCGCAGGTGCCCGGCGGCGCCCAGCGGCGCTGCCCCCAACGACGCCCCGGCGCCGCCCCTGGCGCGCCAGGACAGGGTTTCCAGCGCAGGTTCAAGAGATCCGCGCGAATCTCCGAAAGTGCAGGGTTGCGCTGCTGCCGCTGTTATGTTCTGCCTTCGTGCTATTATGTTGCTGATTCTTCGTATCACTATCATCAGTGTCGTTACGATGTAGATGTTTAGCATTGTTAATATGATTCGAGGGGGGTCCAGCGCAGGTCCAAGAAATCCGCGCGGACCTCCTGAAGTGCAGGGTTGCGCAGTGCATCCACTGGCAGATTCTGCTGCATCCTCTAAATTATGTTCAACAGAAGAATAGAATCGACCCCCCCCAGAGTTAACGGTCCCCCCTGGGGTATTGCGATTTCATATTAATTCTGCACACTCGTCCATCCGACCTGTGAATTCATACTATCCCAGCCAAGCCAGTATCACTCCCCCCCGCCATCCTTTACAAAAAACGACTATGCGCGCACACTCGTTTGTCAAAAAGCAGAAATTTTCAAGAATCCCTTGCGAAAGTCCAACACTCGTTTATCAAAAAGCAGAAGTTTTCAAGAATCCCTTGCAAAAGTCCAAAAAAGTGCACACGCGCGCGTCGTCGCGCGCATGCCGAAATCCTTCAAAAACCTCCTATTTCGGAAAGATTTCCAAATCGAGTTTCCCAATAAACATACAAAAACACATGGTTCCGCTATATTTAAGAAAAGACTTACGTGCGCGCGCTCTTGCGAAATCTTCAGAAAACCATAGGTTTTCAATATGTTCAAGAATACTACAAAACGGGCTTCGCGCGCGCGCATGTCGAAATCTTTCGAACGCCCTTGCGCGCGTGTCGTCGCGAGAATCCTCTGCAAAAAATTAGACGAAGTGAGCACGCACGCGTCGTCGCGCGCGCATGCCGAAATCCTTCAAAAACCTTCGGTTTCGGAAGGATTTCAAAATCGAGTGTCCAAAAAAAATACAAAAACACAGGGTTTCGCAACACGGACTTTCAACAAAAGCGTGCGCGCGCGCTCTTGCGTCGTCATCGTCGTCGTCGTCGCCGTCCTCCCTCCTCCCTCGTCGTCGTCGTCGTCGTCGTCGCCGTCGTCCTCCTCTGTCTTTCCTCGTCGTCGTCGTCGTCTTGGCGTCGTCGTCGTTTCCGTCGTCGTTGTCGCCGTGGTCGTCCTTCCTCCCTTTTCGTCTTCGTCGGCGTTTCGTATGTGTCCCTCCTATGTCGTCGCCGTCGTCGTCGTCGTCGTCGATGTCGTCTTCCCTCCACCCTCGTCGTTGTCGTCGTCGGCGTCGCCGTCCTCCCTCCTTCTTCGTCGTTCGCATCGTCGCCGTCCTCCCTCCTCCCTCGTCGTTGTCACCGTTGCCGACGTCGTCGTCCTCCCTCCTCCCTCGTCGTCGTCGTCTTCGTTGGCGACGTCGTCGTCGTCGTCGTCGTCGTCGTCGTCGGCGTCGTCGTCGTCGGCGGCGTCGTCGTCGTTGTCAACGTCGTCGTCGTCGTCGTCGGCGGCGTCGTCGTCGTCGTCAATGTCGTCGTCATGGTCATTGTCGTTGTCGTCGTCGTCGAAGTCGTTGGAGACGTCGTCGGTATCGTCGTAGTCGTTGTCGGCGGCATCGTCGTCGTCGCTGTCGTTGTCGTCGTCGGCGTCGGTGTCGCTGCCAAGTGCCATTTGGTACCCACCGTCACGGTCCTAAGAGGTCTTGCGACCAAGTTGCGGCTGGGAGGGTGGGATGTTTGCACGAGCAGTGGAGAGGACAGCTTCAATTTGAGCACGTGGTTGATACTCCCTCTCAGCATGCTAATCAGTATTATTACTATACTCTTATCGTATTTACGATTCTTACTATTAGTATATTATTACTCTTGGTACTCATACGAGTATTATTACGCGTAGTAGTGTTCTATCCATCTCATTCTTACTGACTTATTCCGTTTCGTTTTAGCATTAATGTTTGTAGTACTGTACTTCTTCCTATGGATATTATCAGGTGTTACTACTCTGCTTAGTATTAATATGATTAAGAGTATCAGCATCAGTAAGAGTCTAACTAGTATGATTACGCATGTTCGCTCTGATGTTGTTAACCATGGTAGTCTTAGTATTGTTACGATTGATGTTAGCAGTTTCTTACGATTGGCCTTATTCCTCTCATTCTTCTCATTATCATTAGTATTAGTAGCAGTAGTAGCAGTTTAAGTATAGTTGCTATGAATAGTAATGTTGCTACTGTTGTTGCTACTATTACGAATAGTATCACTTGTATTATCAGTAGTCGTAGTAGTCGTAGTAGTATTACTAGTCGTGATAATAGTAGTAGTAGTAGTCGTAGTCGTCGTAGTCGTAGTAGTAGCCTTACAATTACTGCTACTATTAATAATATTACGATTGTTAATTCATAATAGCATAACTTTTATTGATACTAGTGTTGTTATCCATACTACTCTTATAAAGATTCACAGTATTACTCCGTTTATTCTTCGTTTTAGCATCCTTGATATTATTAATAGGTTGTGGTCTGTCTTACTTCTTCCTCTTCAGGGGTGTCCAGCGCAGGTTCAAGAGATCCGCGCGGACCTCCGGAAGTGTAGGGTTGCGCAGTGCATCCAGCGGCAGTTTCTTCTGCATCCTTTATATATATGTGTGTGTGCATATATGTATATATATGTTACATATAATATATATATATATATATAACAATATAAGCAACTATGCATCCCTCGACGTTTCAACCCCACCCTATCCTGAGAACGGGGGATTGTGGAGTCCCTGTGGTTCCACAGCGCGCGCGCGAGGCTTTCGCGCTGAGTTCGCGACTGATTCTGTGCAAACTCTGCTCTGTGTCGTCCTCCTCCTCCTCCTCCTCCGCCTCCTCCTCCTCTCATCCTCCTCCCTCTCCCCCTCCTCCTACCTCTCTGCCTTTTTTTCTCCTGGCGTTCCCCCCCCCCCCAAGAAGAAAAAAAAAAAAATGTTTGTTTCTGGGGGGGGGAAGAAAGGAGAACAAAAAAAAAGGAATGCGGCGTGGCCACATCTGCCCTCCCCCCTAGAAGGATTCCTATTGAACGCCCCCATAAGGAGGATTCACAATGAAATCCTCGACAGAAAGGTTCCTATCGAAACCCTCCACTGAATGATTCCTGCTGAAATCCTCCACATGTGGATTCCTACTGAAACCCTCCACTGAATGATTCCTAATGAAATCCTCGAATGGCAATGGCAATGGCAAGGGCAAGGGCAATGGCAATGGCAATGGTAATGGTAATGGTAATGGTAATGACAAAGGTAATGGTAATGGTACTGGTAATGGTTACGGTAATGATAGTGGTAACGGGTTAGCGAGGCAATGACAATGGCAATGGCAACGGTAATGGTAATGGTAATGGCAATGGCAATGGCAATGGGAATGGCAATGACAATGGCAATGGCAATGGTAATGGCCATGGCAATGGTAATGGTAATGGTCAGGGTAAAGGTAAAGGTAGATGTAAAGGTAATGGTAATGGTAATGGTAATGGCAATGGCAGCGGTAATGGTAATGGTAATGGGAATGGGAGTGGGAATGGGAACGGGAACGGGAATGGAAATGATAGTGGTAGTGGTAATGGTAATGGCACTGGTAATGGTAATGGTAATGGTAATGAAAATGTGAATGGGAATGGTATTGGGAATGGGAATGGGAATGATAATGAGAATTCTAATGATAATGGCAGCGGTAATGGTAATGGTAATGGTAATGGTAATGGTAATGGTAATGGTAATGGTAATGGTAATGGTAATGGTAATGGTAATGGTAATGGGAATGGGAATGGGAATGGGAATGGAAATGGTACTGGCAATGGTAATGGTAGTGGCGAATGGCAATGGCAATGGCAATGGTAATGGTAATGGTAATGGTAATGACAGAGGTAATGGTACTGGTACTGGTAATGGTAATGGTAACGGTAATGGTAATGGTAATGGTAACGGGGTAGCGATTGGCAATGGCAATGACAATGGCAATGGCAACGGTAATGGTAATGGCAATGGCAATAGGATTGGCAATGGCAATGGCAATGACAATGGTAGTGGCCATGGCAATGGCTACGGCAATGGTAAGTGTAATGGTAATGGCAATGGTAGTGGGAATGGGAACGGGAATGGGAATGTGAATGGGAATGGGAATGGGAACAGGAACGGGAATGGAAATGGTGGTTGTGGTAACGGAAATGGGAATGATAAGGGTAAGGGTAAAGGTGAAGGTAGAGGTCAAGGTAATGGTGATGGTAACGGTAATGGTAATGGAAATGATAAAGGTAATGGTAATGGTAATGGTCATGGGAATAGGAATGGCAATGGAAATGGTACTGGCAATGGTAATGGTAGTGGCTAATGGCAATGGCAATGGCAATGCGAATGGTAATGGTAATGACAGAAGTAATGGTAATGGTACTGGTAATGGTAACGGTAATGATAGTGGTAACGGGGTATCGACTGGCAATGGCAATGACAAAGACAGCGGTAATGGTAATGGCAATGGCAATGGCAATGGGAATGGCAATGGCAATGGTAAAGGCCATGGCAATGGCAATGGCAATGGTAATGGTAATGGTAATGGTAATGGTAATGGTAATGGTAATGTGAATGGGAATGGGAACGGGAATGTGAATGTGAATGGGAATGGGAATGGGAATGGGAACGGGAATGGAAATGGCAGTGGTAGTGGTAACGGAAATGGGAATGGTAAGGGTAAGGGTAAAGGTAAAGGTAAAGGTGAAGGTAAAGGTAATGGTAATGGTAATGGTAATGGTAATGGTAATGGTAATGGCAATGACAGTGGTAATGGTAATGGTACTGGGAATGGTAATGGTGACGGTAACGGTAATGGTAATGGTTATGGCAAGGGTAACGGGGTAGCGACTGGCAATGGCAATGGCAACGGCGATGGCAATGGTAATGGTAATGGTAATGGCAATGGCAATGGCAATGGCAATGGCAACGACAATGGCAATGGCAATAGCAATGGCCATGGCAATGGTAATGGTAATGGTCATGGTCATGGTAATGGTACTGGTAATGGTAGTGGTAATGGTACTGGGGATGGGAATGGGAATGGGAAGGGGAATCGTAGTGGTAATTGGAACGGGAACGGGAATGGAAATGGTAGTGGTAGTGGTAATGATAATGACAATGGTAATGGTAATGGAAATGGTACGGGTAACGGTAATGGTAATGGCAATGGTGATGGGAATGGGAATTGTAATGGTGATGGCAGCGGTAATGGTAATGGTAATGGTAATGGTAATGGTAATGGTAATGGTAATGGTAATGGTAATGGTAATGGTAATGGTAATGGTAATGGTAATGGTAATGGTAATGGTAATGGCAATGGTGTTGGTAATGCTAATGGTAATGGCAATGGTAATGGTAGTGGCTAATGGTAATGTGAATGGTAATGGTACTGGTAATGGTAACGGTAATGGTAACGGGGTGGCGACTGGCAATGGCAATACAATGGCAATGGCAACGGTACTGGTAATGGCAATGGCAATGGCAATGGGAATGGCAATGGCAATGACAATGGCAATTGTAATGGCCATGGTAATGGTAATGGTAATGGTAAAGGTAAAGGTAAAGATAAAGGTAAAGGTAATGGCAATGGTAATGTGAATGGGAATGGGAATGGGGATGGGGATGGGAATGGTAATGGTAATTGTATTGGGAATGGGAATGGGAATGGGAATGGGAATGGGAGTGGGAGAGATTGAGAAAGAGAGAGAGAGAAAGTGAGAGAGGAAATATCAGAATAATGATGAGGAGCAACGTGAAAGATCGCGGAGAGGGCGCACTGCGCGCGACCTCACGCGGGCAGCTGACGCGCCAGCGTCGGCGAAGACGACGCCGTCTTCTCGCGTCGCTCACGCATCGATGCCCTCCCGTCCTTCGTGATCTGCGACTCCGTGTGGGCTGCCGCTCTCGCCGGGAGGGAGGCAACACGCCGAGAGAGGCGCCCCGCGGGCGGCGGGGAGGGCGCCCCGCCTGCTCCAGGCCGGCGGCCTCGGGCGGCAGCGCCTGGCCGTAGATGACGACGGACAGGCGCAGGTACTCCCCCCGGATGGTGACCGCGTCGACCACCATGCCCTCGCAAGCGGGTGGCGACATCCAGCGGGGAACCGAGCAATGACTCAGACACAAAGCTCGGGGGTCCACGCGGATTTCTCGGATCCGCGCTGGGCCCCCCTCATCTGGCGCCAGATGAGGGGGTCCAGCGCGGATCCGAGAAATCCGCGCGGGCCTCCGAGTTGTTATGTTTATGTCATTGCTTGGTTCCCTAATCCGAGCCCTGCCCCCACCAACAATAAAATCTCCCGAACCGATGGGAGGCGGAGGCAGGCTTCGGATTTCGCCGCGTGCTCGGCGGATGAGCTGCCTGAGACGTGGATCGGCGAGGGTAGGGTTCGGATCCAAGGATGGTGACCGACCACCATGCCCCCTCAGGTGCTCCGAATTTTGTGTCACACCCCTCCCAGATGAGCAATTTTAGACACCCGCCCCAGAATGGCCATGAACAGGCTGCCTTTTGCCCAGACCCCCCTGGGACCCTCCAAGACAGCTCAAATCAGACCCAAAAAAAAAATCAAACCACATCCCTTTTTATGTAATTCGGAGTAGGTGGCGAATTCCGAACCCACCACTGGAAACGTGGGTCGGCGAGGGTAGGGTTCGGATCCCCGGATGGTGCCCACGTCGACCACCATGCCCTCTCAAGATCGGCAAGAGAAGCACCCCTGATCCACTGGGAGGAGGCCCAAGTCAGCAGGGTCGAAAGCATGAGGGTAAGGGGTCTGTCTGCCGATGCGTCAAACGAAGCCACCCCTAACCGTGGACCTAGGGCAGGCCACGAACTCATTGTGTTACGTATCAGGGCGAGGGGCTAGGGGCTGCATGACGCTTGGTGACGTCAGGGGCCACGCCGGGGCCCAGGAAGGAGGGACGGAGCCCAGACCTCTGACGACATGGTTTTGAGGTCTGTCGCCTCGAATGCGGCCCCCAGGGCCCGTTGTCGGGCCGTCGGGCCCCCAAGACCATCAGAAGAATGGATCCGGGAGGAAGGAGTGGCCCCGTGAAAGGGGTCGGGATCCCTGGGGGCCGCGGATGGTGTCCGCGCCGACCACCACGCCCTTCTGTGGGCCACGTCGGGTCCCAGGGGGGGGGCTGACAACGAAAAGGGTGCCGACCGTCGAAGTTTGCTAACAGTTGTCGTCGGTTCACGGCGGGTTTCCGTCCTCAGGGTCCTCTCCAGCAGCTGCGCCTCGCCGAGGGCGCTACCGGGGTGCCTGGAACGTCCCGACAGGCCCTGGAGGCCCGAGATATGCCTAAATTATCCCGACGAAGCAACCTAACAGCGATGTGTAGAAGCATAGCTGGAAACATTGCCTTGGGTATTCATGTAAGAGTACTGTTGTAAAATTCAGGTGTTCTCGCAGTCGCATTCGGATTCGCAACGCAGTCGCAGCGGCAACAACAGTCGCAGTCGCAGTCGCAGTGGCACTGCCAGTAGTTGCAGTAGCAAGAGCTACACTAGCAGAAGCAACAGCAGCAGCAGTAATAGTAACAGTATTAATCGCAGTAGACGTAGTAGTGATGGTAGTAGCGGCAACAGTGAAGTGTTGTAGTGGGTGGAGTGAACGAGTGGGAGTAATGGGAGCAATTGTAGTAGCAGTAGAAACACTAGTAGCAAGAGTAGTATAAACGAGACACTGCTATCAATCAGCCCATCTTCGAACGAGACACTGCTATCATAAAGGGTCGGGTGCCCCGTACAGAAATGAAGGGAAAAAGGGAAAGGAGGAAAGAGTAAGGAGCCTCCCTCGTCCTGCTCCTCCTGCTCCTCCTGCTCCTCCTACTACTGCTACTACAAGTATCAGATTCTGGCGGAAACGTCCAGTGCACGATGACGCCTGGGTCCGCCGTCTTGCCCTGCACGATGACGACACAGAACAAACCGGGAATCGGGTGGCGAGAGATCTGACGGAGACATCCAGTAAGCAAAATGTGGCCCGGGAATGGAGTTCTGGGAGCTCGAAGAAGACGAAGTGGCCTACAGCTGGCTCCCAAAACGTTGCCCGGGAATGGAGTTCTGGAAACTCGAAGACCACGAAGTGGCCTACACTTAGCTCCGGGCACCCAAAACGTTGCCCGGGAATGGAATTCTGGAAACTCGAAGACCACGAAGTGGCCTACACTTGGCTCCGAGCATCCAAAATGTACGCCGGGAATGGAGTTCTGGGAACTCGAAAACCACGAAGTGGCCTACAGTTGGCTCCGGGCATCCAAAATGTACGCCGGGAACGGAATTCCAGCAGCGCCAAGAGCGATTTTGCGAAGATGTCCCAGGCGATTTGGGTTTCGACGGCAGCCGCCCCGGGTCCCGCCCCGACCCCCCTGAGGAGTCATGATGTTCTCTTTTGAGCCTATTAGAAACCTATCAGTCTTCGCTGTTAGGTAAAAAACCACCGGGGACGGGACTGGCCCAACGAGAGTATAAAGGGTCAGAAGGGAGGGAGGGAGGGAGGGACGGAGGGCGGGAGGGAGAGAATGAGGGACAGAAAAGCAGGAGGAGGCGGAGGAGGAGGAGGCAGAGGAGAAGGCGCAGGAGGAGGAGGAGGAGGAAGAGGAGGACGAGGAGAAGGAACAGGAGGAGGAGGACGAGGGGGAGGGAAGGGGGAGGGGGAGGGGGAGGGGGAGGGGGAGGGGGAGGAGGAGGAGAAGAGGAGGAGAAGAACCAGTGTAAACTCAAGAGTCATCAACGATGTTGGAATAAAACCCTCCCTCCAAGATCCCTCTTCATAGGCCCCCACAACGGTTCACTTCCGTTGAGGGAACTTCCTCGTTGGAAGACAACCGTTTGACGATCCTGAAGCATGCCAAACATGATTCTCGGGATTTCAACGTCATACAACGAACTGGCTGCTGCGTTTTGATGTTCCAGAATCGCGCCATAAAGCCATGTTTGAGATTTCAGCACCGCGAATCAACACAACTACTGCTCCCGCATAATCCTGAATCCTTCCAAAATCACCACTTCTGGCACGCTGATCATGGGAATCCGTGAAACTCTTGCCACTTTATTTGTTTAACAAACAAATGTGCGCGGCGCCATTGCGAGAGCCACATTTTGAAAACGGCCCGCCCTCAATCCGTGAAATTCTTGCAAAGTTTAAAAACGAATGTGCGCGGCGCTAATGCGAGAGCCACATTTTGAAAACCACCCGCCCTCCAGCTGTGAAACTGTTGAAATGTCTTAAGCTTCCGAATCACAAATGGTGAGGAAGTCTCAGACGAAACGCCCGGCCCGCCCTAAAAACTGGCCTCGGGTGCGACAGGGAGAAGTTATCTACAAGGAGAAGGAGTGGAAGAGGACTGACTGACTATGACTTGGATCCAACGTGTCGCCAACTGCCTCTGACACTACCTCTTGCAGTGCGGAATAAAAAACTTGCAGCATCAATCTGGACCTGTCGGGGCAAGCCCCCTCGCTACGCACAAGTGCGCGGGTGCCATGTAGCACTCTGGCACTGCACGCACCCTACTCCTGCGCTGGCAGGCTAGGGGCATGCGCGCACTGGGATATATAATTATATGCAGCTGTCTTGCCTTTGCACGTTTAGCAGCGAGCACTTTAACGCGCTCCTCTCAAGCACTGGAAGAAAAAACGGCGGCTGCATTTGAGAGGCGTTTTATTCCTCACTTACAGCCACGTGCTCCAGAACAGCGTTTCCGAAGCACGTTGGAATATCTATGCCGCTGTCTTGCCTTTGCCGCGCCTGCCTCGGCCTCGACTCTTACCTTTGTCCTGCCGAACAGGCAGGGGGCGAGGAGTGAGGAAAGCGGGGTCAACTGAGGATAGTAAAACTGGCGCTGGCTGACTTGGAGCAGGAGCGGCACTCAGGAAGCCCGCGGTCCCCAGAGCTCGGTAGCGCTGACTGTCGCGAAACGCGGGCGGCGCCGAGCGCGGGGCCCCTCGGCTCCGGCTGCTCTGGCTCAAGTCTGGCGTCACGAGCCGGGCTCGCGTCTGAACCTGTGGAACTGGTTCTCCCACGAGCTCCAGCATCACTTCGTCGCGTGGACGAGGCGGTTCAGCTCGCGCTGGAGTGGCCCCCGCGGTGCTGCGCCCAGCTTCCGCTGGCCTCCCTCTTTCTTGATCTCGGCGATGATGATGTCTCGAATCAGCTTCATGTTGCGCTCGTGCAAGTCGAAGGAAAAGATTAGCCGCACTTTCTCCTTCTTGTTGGGGGCCTTGTTCTTCTTCGCCTGGAAGTGGGCGATGCAGCTGCCCAGCGGCTCCGACCCCTCCGCGCAGACCACCGCGCGCCAGAACTCCTCGAGCACCTTCTTGGCTTCCGGGCCCACCAGGGTCGCCAGCCCTTTGATCGTCGCCGCTGCGATCACCAGGTGCGGCGGGCCGAGGGCCGCCGCGTCGGTCTGGCTGTCCACCATGTGTTGCTCCTTCAGCTCCTTGGCGTCGGCGTCGCATTGCTGGCCTGCTTGAATGGCGAACGCGGGGAGCGGCTTGGCTGCGCCCATCTCCCAGGCCTCGCACACTGCGGCCTGCAGGTCCTGCACGTCTTTGGCGACTACGAGCGCCAGCTTGGCCGAGGTGACCGCGATCTGCCCCACCCTGTCCCAGTCCTTGCCATTGCCCGCGCCCTTGCTCTTGAACTGCTTGTTGGGGTCGTTCTGGCCCGTCGCCGCCGCGAGCCCCCTCTTGCCCGCCCACGCCGGTCCAGCGGCGAAAGCGTCCACCATGGCTGCGCCCCCTGCTGTGCCTGACGCCGCCGCCGCCGCCGCTTCGCCTGGCATCTTGTCGTGGAGCGCCGGCTGGGCGCGAGGCGGCCGCGGTCGGGGCCGAGGTCGGTCGGCGCGCTGGAGTCGGGGGCTGCAGAATTGCTCGGGGAAAATGGCTGCGGATGCGGGCAAAGAACTGTTGTTTGTCGTTGTCCGCATACCCGCATATTCTGCACATCTGGTCAAAGTCCTCCGCTGGTTTCATCGCTCTGCGTCTGTCCGAGGGGCATTGCCCACGCAGAAAGGCCTTCATAAGATGCCTGCCCGCCGCGCTCCGTTCCCCGAAGATCGCG